TTTGTTAGCTGGGTTGTTGCATTAATATCGCGAAAGATCACTGAACTACTCTACTAGCTATTACTATACACTATACTATAGCTACAACTACAGCTACTCATGTTACATCTAGTTTCATTCTACTTGCTGATATCCGCGGCCGCGGTAGTCGTTAACGTAACACATAGCACGACTTCAACAAATACCTCAATGTCATTTGACTGACCGAACAAGACAAGCTAGGTAGGGTTAGCTGTCATCTGTTCGCGTGATGCCAGCACCATACGAATGTCGTCGTACAATCGATAGCGGTTGTGTCGTACTAGGGTGAATGATTGTTCCACAATAATTATTGCGAATTGCAGATGGCCGATTATTCATATGATAACTTGTCCGTGTAGCAATAATTGTTTCACGCGTGTCACAAACAGCGATGTACGTTGGTCAACAATATTTGCGATACGTGCGATAGTGCCTGTAGATATCGTAACATCGAACATCGTAACGGCTCAGAGGACTCATCCTGCTACTCATGTACTCCTGCCGCAGACATGGGAAAGTTACTCATCGTTGTTCTTCTCGTGGGTTCGACCTGCTATGTATGTCTGACACACGTTAGATACGATTTAGTCACTGTCAAATAGCGTTTGCGGCACTGATTACTTATCTAGCTTTTAAGTTATGTCACTAGGACCGGGGAGTGGCAAGTTGTTGTTGTATAGATATATCAATGGTGACGTCTTTATATCAGACACGCTTACTTCGCAGATTTCGTGTTTGCAAGCAGCGTGGATTTATCTAAGTAGTATACCTAGCTCATTATGCAGAGTATGTATGTAATTTTATGTATTTTTCTATCAACAGCTTGGTAGTGGGTCATGGACTCATGGTACGGAAACAACAAAGGGGGAAGTCATGGAAATAACGGAGGAAGATATGGAAACAACGGAGGAGGAGGACGATACAGAAACGACGGAGGAGGAGGATACAAAAACAAAGGAGAAGGAGGATACGGAAACAACGGAGAAGGAAGAGCAGGTTATGGAAACAAAGAAGGAGAAGGAGAATACGGAAACAGCGAAGGAGGAGGAGGAGGATATGGAAACAACGGAGGAGAAGGAGGCTGCGGAAACAACAGAGGAGGAGACGGAAACAACAGAGGGGGACACGGAAGCAGTGGAGAAGGGGGATTCGGAAACAAAGGTTTTGGCGGATTCGGTAGCGGATGCTTTGCCAGTGGAGGCTTTGGCGGTTTTGGATATGTCTGCAATAACGGACGTGGCCGAAATGGCGGAGGATATAGAGGAAATATAGCGAAGGGTATGGAGGAAATAGCGGAGGGTATAGAGGAAATAGCGGAGGGTATGGAGGAAATAGCGGAGGGTATGGAAAAATTGTGGAGGATATGGAGAAAATAGCGGAGGATATGGAGAAAATAGCGGAGGGTATGGAGGAAATAGCAGAGGGTATGGAGGAAATATCAGAGGGTATGGAGGAATTGACGGAGGATATTGAAGAAATAGCGGAGGGTATGGAGGAAATAGCGGAGGATATTGAGGAATTGGCGGAGGATATGGAGAAAATAGCGGAGGTTATGGAGGAATTGACGTAGGATATTGAGGAAATAGCGGAGGCTATGAATGAATTGACGGAGGATATTGAGGAAATAGCGGAGGCTATGGATGAATTGACGGAGGATATTGAGGAAATAGCGGAGGCTATGGATGAATTGACGGAGGATATTGAGGAAAAAAGCGGATGTTATGGAGTAATTGACGTAGGATATTTAGGAAATAGCAGAGGTCATGGAGGAAATAACGGAGGGTATGGAGGAAATAGCGGAGGGCATGGAAAAATTGGCAGGAGGATATGGAGAAAATAGCGGAGGGTATGGCGGAAATAGCAGAGGGTATGGAGGAAATAGCGGAGGGTATGGAGAAAATAGCGGAGGATATGGAGGAATTGGCGGAGAATATGAAGAAATAGCGGAGGATATGGAAAAATTGGCGGAGGATATGGAGAAAATAGCGGAGGGTATGGAGGAAATAGCAGAGGATATGGAAGAAATAACGGAGGGTATGGAGGAATTGACGGAGGATATTGAAGAAATAGCGAAGGTTATGGAGGAAATAGCGGAGGATATTGAGGAAATAGCGGAGGCTATGGATAAATTGACGGAGGATATTGAGGAAATAGCGGAGGCTATATGTATAAATTGACGGAGGATATTGAGGAAATAGCGGAGGATATGGATGAATTGACGGAGGATATTGAGGAAAAAAGCGGATGTTATGGAGTAATTGACGTAGGATATTTAGGAAATAGCGGAGGTTATGGAGGAAATAACGGAGGGTATGGAGGAAATAGCGGAGGGTATGGAGGAATTGACGGAGGATATTGAGGAAATAGCGGAGGATATGGAAGAAATAGCGGAGGGTATGAAGGAAATAGCAGAGGGTATGGAGGAAATAGAGGAGGGTATGAAAAAATTGGCGGAGGATATTGAGGAAATAGCGGATGTTAGGGAGGAAATAGCGGAGGGTATGGAGGAAATAGCGGAGGTTATGGAGAAATTGACGGAGGATATGGAGAAAATAGCGGAGGTTATGGAGAAATTGACGGAGGATATGGAGAAAATAGCGGAGGGTTTGGAGGAAATAGCAGAGGGTATGGAGGAAATAGCGGAGGGTATGGAGAAAATTGACAGAGGTTATGGAGGAAATAGCGGAGGGTATGGAGGAAATAGCGGAGGATAGGGAGGAAATAGCGGAGGCTATGCAGGAAATAGCGGAGGGCATGGAAAAATTGACAGAGGATATGGAGAAAATAGCGGAGAGCATGGAAAAATTGACAGAGGATATGGAGAAAATAGCGGAGGCTTTGGAGGAAATAGAAGAGGGTATGGAGGAAATAGCGGAGGGTATGGAGGAAATAGCGGAGGATATGGAGGAATTGACGAAGGATATTGAGAAAATAGCGGAGGGTATGGAGGAATTGACGGAGAATATTGAGGAAATAGCGGAGGGTATGGAGGAATTGACGGAGAATATTGAGGAAATAGCGGAGGGTATGGAGGAATTGACGGAGGATATTTAGAAAATAGCAGAGGCTATGGATGAATTGACGTTGGATATTGAGGAAATAGCGGAGGTATGGATGAATTGACGGAGGATACTGAGGAAATAGCAGAGGTTATGAAGGAATTGACAGAGGATATTGAGGAAAATAGCAGAGGTTATGGAGAGGAAATAGCGAAGGGTATGGAAGAATTGACGGAGGATATTGAGCAAATAGCGGAGGTTATGGAGGAAATAACGGAGGGTATGCAGGAAATAGCGGAGGGCATGGAAAAATTGGCGGAGGATATGGAGAAAATAGCGGAGAGTATGGAGGAAATAGCAGAGGATATGGAGGAAATAGCAGAGGGTATGGAGGAAATAGCAGAGGGTATGGAGGAAATAGCGGAGAGTTTGGAGGAAATAGCAGAGGATATGGAGGAAATAGCAGAGGGTATGGAGGAAATAGCGGAGTGTATGGAGGAAATAGCAGAGGATATGGAGGAAATAGCAGAGGGCATGGAAAAATTGGCGGAGGATATGGAGAAAATAGCGGAGAGTATGGAGGAAATAGCAGAGGATATGGAGGAAATAGCAGAGGGCATGGAGGAAATAGCGGAGGATATGGAGAAAATAGCGGAGTGTATGGAGGAAATAGCAGAGGGTATGGAGGAAATAACGGAGGGTACTGAGGAAATAGCAGAGGGTATGGAGAGGAAATAACGGAGGGTATGGAGGAATTGACGGAGGGTATGGAGGAAATAGCAGAGGGTTAGGAGGAAATAGCAGAGGATATGGAGGAAATAGCAGAGGGTATGGAGGAAATAGCGGAGGGTATGGAAAAATTGGCGGAGGATATTGAGGAATTGGCGGAGGATATGGAGAAAATAGCGGAGTGTATGGAGGAAATAGGAGAGGGTATGGAGGAAATAACGGAGGGTATGGAGGAATTGACGGAGGATATTGAAGAAATAGCGAAGGTTATGGAGGAAATAGCGGAGGATATTGAGGAAATACTGGAGGGTATGGTAAAAATTGGCGAAGGATATGGAGAAAATAGCAAATAGTATGGAGGAAATAGCGGAGTGTATGGAGAAAATAGCGGAGGGTATGGAGGAAAATAGCGGAGGATATGGAGAAAATAGCGGAGGGTATGGAGAAAATAACGGAGGGTGTGGAGAAAATAGCGGAGGATATGGAGGAATTGACGGAGGATACTGAGGAAAATAGCGGATGTTATGGAGTAATTGACGTAGGATATTTAGGAAATAGCAGAGGTCATGGAGGAAATAGCGGAATGTATGGAGAAATTGACGGATGATATTGAGGAAATAGCGGAGGGTGTGCAGGAAATAGCGGAGGATATTGAGGAAATAGCGGAGGGTATGGAGGATATAGCAGGAGCGGTTACGGCCACAGGTGAGAAAGAGCTGTTGCTTTGATAAATAGACATTACACGTGCAAATATCGCAATGGATAGACAATCGGTTGGCTATGCGATCAGATAAGTTGTCATAGTATCGGGCGTTTTCGTTAGTGCTTACCTTTACAGATTCATCATAACAAATAACACATAGCAAAGCTGATGCTCTTCTGCTGTACTTATTCCGCTCTTTTTTGCTAAATAGAAATTAAAAATTAAATATTTAATTATTCAAGTTTTAAATTTCGAACTTAGCTAGCGACTGAAATATCCGTACTATAATTGGTCAGTTCATGTGTGAAATGTAACGCATAATCTAATAGGTGCCATAAACTCTTTAGATTTCGAATTTGATATTTTGAATTACGATTTTCGAACTTTGGGGTCTCCTATATATAAATTTCGCATGCGCTAAGCGACGCATAGACCCACAGCACATACGCACACACCACGCGCGCGTGCGCTCTCTCACACACACACACACACACACACACACACACACACACACACACACGCGCGCGCGCGCGCGCGCGCATACATTGCTGCGAAAAATACCATATTATAACTGGAGCAGAACATGTCGCGTGCTATGAAATAAAAACATATTGCCAGCTGTAATCAATGTTGACCGCTGAACAGTGCTACCATCTATCATTAACCCTTTCTCACCACCAATGGCCACGACGATGTGCAGTAAAGGAAGGCTTGAAGCAGTGAACAAAGTCATATTATATCAGACCTTAACTGTAAGGCAAAGCTCTTAAAAACAACCAAAAATCCTGCCAATTTACATAATTATCGTGCCGATCCTTAAAATACTATTCATCACATGATACGCCAGATGTCACCGTTTCTCGTTTTGGGTTTGTTGATCGAGGCTATATTTTGTCTGAATGCTGTAGATTGTATTCATATATTTAGATCTACGGGGAAGACAATTAGGGACTAAGGTTATTGGATGTTTAAGGTAACGTCCGTGTTTATGTTAATTTTGTTTAACTTAATAAATCGTAGACCAAGGCTATTTTGTGGAATTTTTCCCTGGAATGTAAGTCTGCCCGGTATTATGTACCGCTGATTATACATATAACAAAACAATTTGTCAACATTAAGTCTCGAAAATCAATGCTACTTCCACGTGCATAGTTCCAGTATGTGAAGGTCTTAGTACTAGTGTCTCGTGTACCGCATGCCGATGGTCCTTGTATGAATCCATACAGACGTGACCAGTAAAGTCAAACGTTTCTATTTAAAATGTGAATAATGAAATGCTTTAATTCGTTAAATTCTTTAAGCATTTTTGACACGCCCTAATCTGCCTATAACATCCGCGCGCGTGTTTTTGCAGTTCCAGTGTGGGGAGCCGATTGCGAAAATGACGCTAACTGGACGCGTGATTTTTTTTTCTAGGATAATCAAGAACATAGGGCTCTAGTGAGCTCTGCCATTGGTTGAGCTTGTTTCGTCGCTCAATGACGTCACAGTGTCGTCATATTCATAGCACATCCATAATTCAAATATTCCAATAATCCTGAATAGGCGAACGCGTAGAGCAAGGACGACACGGCTGAAAGGTCGTTGGATCGAATCTCATCTGTTTCTTAATTATTATTCTTGTTTTCTGTATTTTTCTATCTTTATCTATATAACTATTTTTTTCAAATTAACGCAAGTATTTACATGATTTATTTACAACAATTTAATAAAAACAATTAATTTTTACAACAATTAAAAAAATTAAATTTAATCACGCCGACTGGACGCGACCAGCACGATACAATGTTGGTACCACCAGCCTCTGTAATCCTGTTAAGAAACCCTGTATTATAGGTGCGTCACAGACCATAATATAACTTGCGAATGATTAGGCCTACTTGTTAAGAATAAATGTAATTTTATGATAAATTCGTATAATCAATCTGTTAGCAACGGTTATTTATCGACAATTTTTGCTAGCAAAAGGAAATTTAATCATAAATATTAATGGATATATATGAATATATACATTCAATAAAATCCGTGATAGTCATCTATATTATATAAATACATTTCTATTGTTATTATTACTAGGGGTGCACCGGATCCAACTTGAAAAAAGTTCCGGCCGGAACTACCTGGCCGGAACCGGAACTTAAGCTAGGAATAAACTTGCCAGTTTTGGCCTAGTATCGGCCAACTCGGCCTGAACAAAATATTATTAGCAGGCACATCACTCAGGCGAATAGGACAATGCTCAAAGTTTTAATTACAGGATGGTTGTTAGGTGTATGAATCAGCTGCTTACAGTGCATAATTCTGGCATCTTATTCGCGAGCGAATTTTGGGACAAAACCTGCATGTTGCAGTATCCCTGGTTTTAGTCGATTATTTTCAAATAACAGACAGATGCCATTTCTGTGGCTTTTTAATTTAGTAGAGTATTTGATTTTTAAAAAAAATCGCGTGAATCACCTAACATCAGTTAGGTTCAGCTAGTTCAGGTTGTTCAGCCAATGTTTAAGTGGCAAGCGTTTTTTGGGCAGAATAGTGTGTAGTTGTTAACACTATATTGTCAGAAAGTTGACTCTATTGACTCTCAACTACATTCAGTCACTGGTCTTTTGATCTTGATGACGCTTGTAGCAGAAATAAAATTGGAAAAAAGTTCCGGTTCCGGCGACTGTTCCTGAAGGGTTCTGGCCGGAACCGGAACTCTGAAAAGTTGGGGATCCGGCCGGATCCAAGTTCCGGTGCACCCTTAATTATTATTATTATATACAGATTCATGGATCTATATATAAAGAGTATTATGGCATACATTCCGCCATTATAACGATACGTATTCTACTTTTAGCTTTGACATATTTGGTCTTCATGATCATGTCATCTAGAGAGTATTGAAGATGGATTCTGTCTATCTGTCTATCAAATGCCGAGTGCACGGGAAGCGACCTGCGCATTATCACTAATCCTACGATTCTCACTAATGTAACCATACTGAAGATTACCAAGGGCATCTGTGACGTGACGACGCACACGTGTGTTTGTAACCCGTGCGCGACTTCGGACAAACCAACCATGACATGTTGATAAGCCACTCCGTGAACTGTGACGCATGATAGCCTATTGTGAGATAAGTAAAATTAATGCTAGAAATAAGATTATTAGACAAAGTAGCAATGTACTTTTAAGAACTAAAAATTACAAGAAGTAAATTTCATTTTGTTCGCGACTAAACGTTTGATCATGGTAATGTAGCTATTTTGATATCAAACTCAATTGCGCACTATTACGCGTAATAATCTTCTGAGTGTTTTAATTTTAAAAAGAGTGTTATTAAACTTAATAGCAGTGCATTGATTAAGTATGCTACTAAATATATGATCTCTGTAATGTAGACAGTTCATAGTAGCCTACTCACACTAAAGGTCTCGCATAATTATTATACATAACCTATGCTTGTCGAATGGATTACTTTCTATCTAACATATTTTAATGCTGACATGTTTTAGTGTCGCTGATGTTATTTAGACTACACCACCACCAACAGAGCTTGCTCAGGTGATGATGCCAAATGCACGTGCAATGGCGATTCGAGATGATACCATTGAGGGGCCTTATTTGAGGGTCCTATACGG